TGTTTGGCTTTCTTGTCCGCAGCAGCAGAAAGCATTTTCGAATGTTTGAATGAATCAAAGTGGGTCGTCACCGTCGATTTTCTCTGATGCTCCAACACACAGTTGCACGGGGTGCAGAATAGTTTCCCCCACTTTTTGCCCGGTCTTTAGTAGAAATGTTCGTCGGTAAATGAGATGGATTCGATTTTTTCATCTTGGTGTTTTCTCTATCGTGTGAGCTCCACACGTTCACTCTATACAGTGTTGTTTACATTCTGTGATGCGCGAGCTGATGACGTCACGTCAAGACGAGTTAACTTTTTTTTTTTCTCAACTTTGTGTGGAAAAATGCGTTGATTATGCGGCCCTTTGATAAATATGCGGCCTTTTAAAAATCTGCGCCATTTAGCTGATTATGCGGTAAATTCTGCGATCGCAGAATCGCGTTTTTCTGGAGGGTCTATATTGTTTATAAATGGATTAGGGTTAGGGTTACTAGCACAAAGCGTATACTCATTGATGAACAACCTACACACTCTCCTGTATTATTGTCATTTTGTGTAATCCAGAAAGAAAACAACACACATCATGCTATTTATTTAACTTTTACTTTATTATTTCCCCCTCTTATTTGTTTGTTTGTTTGTTTGTTCACCATGTAAAGCGGCCTTGGGTCCCTTGAAAGGCGCTATACTAATGTAATCTTTTATTATTATTATCTTTAAAAAAAGACTTGCATTAAAGGCATCTCGTAAGAGATATGTTCATATTCACTGTGCTTTGTGTTGTGAAGCAGCTCTCCCTCCCTCTGCCCACAGTGACATGATGCATGTTTCACCTCTCACTTGCTCATGCAGCGATATTATCAACACTCCATGGATCAGGCTGTTATGGCCGCCTCCTGAGAGTCCAGATGCTGCAGGGAGGACCTCCTATGACCTCTCAACAGACCTGGGATCAGTGTACTGTGGGCCCTCAACGATCATCCTAGGGCCCTTTTAGATGAGGTGTGCATAATGGGGAGGTTTCTTTCACTGAAGGATGAATCAATGGGGCATGAAGAAGAGAATTTCCACCCCATTTCCCCCCCTGATTACCCCACCACATACAGCTCCTTAATAGCTTGTTGTGTGTCATAAATCTCTTTTTACCACTATAGCATCATAGATGTATTACACTGTGTGCCTTACATATTAAACCAGAGGTGTCATTGGGATTTGGTGCTGGTTGCATGTAGAGATGGTACTTTAAGGATACAGGCATCATGTTTTATTTCTCAGGGTGTCAGGGAGGTCTTAGCCAGCATACAAAGTCATGATGTGCATCCAGCCGGCTTATCCTCAAACAGCTCCCTGGTTAATAATAAAGCTGTCTCTGTGTGGAGGACAGAGGGATTCTGTTTCTTTCACCTGGCAGGAGGGACTTCAGCGAACCTTCAGGCAACAAACACAGCAAAAACAGTGAGGCTAAGATGAATGGGATCTGCAGAAACAGTCATCAGTGTCTGCTCTGGAATATTTATTGTTTGCAACCTTTAAATGTACTTATTCTATTCACAATATAGGAAACAATTGTGAAACTTTTGTTTTTATTGTTTATCGTTTTTGTGAATGAACAAACAAACAGTATGAAAGCAGACAGGGTCATCTTGGATAAGAAGAAATGCTTACTATGTTGTAGAAACGATTACACATTGTTACAAAAAGGGCCGATGAAAAAAAACTAGGAATTAAATAAGATGGCTAGAGTCACAAAAAATGTATCCATAAGTGCTTTTATTAACAGCCACAATGCTGAAAGAACACAAAGTAACAAGGATCTACAGTCCAGAATAGACAGAAAAACAAACCTCAATATATGTACAGGTCGAATAAATATAACTGGTACCTCTCTGCTCTACAGCCACAGTCAGACTAACTCCAAAACACTTGTGGCCAGAGGTTTATATATGTTAAGCCCCTCCCCATAGGACAAACAACAAATCAAATAGGTCAACATATTCTACATTTCTGACCACAAAAGCCTTAAACAATAACACTTTTACACTTGGAACAAAATGGTCACCCGTGCCCATGCACTACATGGTATGCTCCAATCGAGCACAGGTGTTTCCACTGATTGAGCTTCTGTTGCTCTGTTTGGACTTCACAACCTTGAACGAGAGGGTAAGCAGGTTACTTTGGTACAGCATTGTTATGTATGATTTCAAATAAAGCTGACTTGAACAAACAATGACTTGGGTTTTATTTTATCAATGTCCAGTAAAGTTATTAATGTGTTTCCCTCAGTGTGCCTTTTACCATGCCCCTATGCCTATGCCAACTGTGATGAAGGCGTCTTCTTCACACACAAACTTATCTCGTGCCCTCATTGGTCATGTGCGCGTCCGTGTGTGTTGGAGGAGGGGCTCTGTAAGGAAGTCTGAAGGAAGGGGCAGATTTGTTCCGGTTGTGTATTTTCAAATTCTAGCTGACTCGAGCTGGTTTCTCCTTATCTACCCTACCTTTAAAGTTTGACTTTACTCTCAAAAAGCAATTAAATTAAATCTCCAGAATTTTCCCATCTATTAAAGGACTCTTACTTTATCATTTTAACAAAGGGCTATGAATTCTGTTTTCATGCTCTCCAAAAAACTTTAGTAAAAAATTCAAATATGTCAGAAAGGCAGCGTTTGGATGTCAACACGTAACCTGATTGAAATGAACATGAACTAAAGATAATGCTTCTGTCTCAGCTGCTTCCACACAGATGCATGCCTTATTTTATTCCAAATAGAGCATGAAGACACATGTTGAGAATATATATAAAGCTTGTGTAAAATACATCATCTGTGAGGGAACTATTAACCGTTAGTAAAATAACACTGACAGCTTTTGCATTCTTTATTATTAAAATGTCTACCAACATAGTAAAATAAGTTACATCTGGCCATCAAATTTCACATTTCCTTTACAGTCGGCTCTGAAGCAACAGCTTGGGGAAATTATGGTTGTTCCTGAAATGCTAGAAGCTTAACACCTTCCTTTTTCTCCATTCTTAAAATAATTTCCACAGGAAATGACATTTAAAAAAATTGACCCTTAAAAATTATCGTTATATATTTTTTTTTTAAAGAACAAAAATGAAAATAATCTGGCATATAATTAATTATTATTGCACAAAAAGCAGTTTAGAAAAGTGGCAACCCTTTTTAAAATCATTGACTTCAGACACATAATTATTGATGCTTTCATTTAGGGACCATATTCTTTCTTTTTTAATAAACAAAATTGCAGCTTTTATTTTATAACTGAAATATGAAAAATACCATGACCTTAGTTCAGACTGGATCTTGTTGTTAAAGTGATGCATTCTGGGTAAAGTCCTCTGCCGTGGCTGCTGGCGTGTTTAAGGCTTGACCGTGGGCTGTCTGGAGTCCTGAGGGGCCGCCTGTCGGGGGCCGCTGTGCGAGTTATGGAGGGCGTCGGGGTGGGGGGGGCCGTACCCATCACCGTGTGCAGGGTGGGNNGGGGGCAGGTTCATGGGGGGGCCGGGGTGGTCCCGAGGTCCTGGGTAGCGCATGTCTGGAGGGAAGGGCGGACGAGGTCCCATTGGTCCACGGACACCTGCACAGAAACATGAGAAAAGATGATGTCATCAGGAGGGACACAACATCATGAGTGTGATCTGTTAAAGACACTACCTGATTTCCAAGTTGTCTTTTCGATGTAGCCTACAACAGTGTTTCTCAAACTTTTTCATACCAAGGACCACTTAACCAATAAAAAAACACTCGCGGACCACCTAACTCCACAAATATCAAAAAACACATCGCTTTTCTAGAACAGATTACAAATCGCCTGAAAATGGTACAAAGAAGTGGCAACATGTGTGACGTAGGTGTTGCGCTGGGCTATATCATGCAATGGAAAGTGAAACTTAACCTCGCTCAATTGCGGAGATATTCCCGCGAGTGCGGAAAACTTAAATGTATTCATTTATTTCAAATGTGAAATGTTACCAATATACTCACGGACCACCAGTGGTCCGTGAACCACACTTTGAGAAGCACTGGCCTACAACATATTATTTTGGAAATTGAGTTATTAATGACTTTATTACAGTTTAAAACCAGCACATCCTGTCAGTGTGTGCTGCACTCTTGTGGCGTACTATCAATGTTCTGAAAAAACTAAAAAGTTCAGTACATAATGGGCAGAGCTGCAACAACTAGTCATCTGAGAAATCACTCAGTATACAGGAAAAAATTACTATTTTGATGATTGATTTATGTATAAGAAGTTTTTCATGCAAAAATGAATGCTGTTTTCAGCCATGTAGAGATCACCCTTTTCTCCATATTATACAACATTAAACTGAATATGGTGAGGGGTTTTAACTGAGAAAAATCTAAATGTAAAGGCATTGCTCTGAACTGCAATTACGTTTTTTACTACTTGATTAAAAAATGACATTTTACCATTTGATTTATCTAGAAAATAATCAGATTCATCGGTAATGGGGTCAAGTCCATCTACATACAAACAGAAACTCTCAACTCCCAGCACTCCAGTCAAACCATAAACAGATAATACGTACCAGGGGGCATCGGTCCGTAGTGATGAGGTGGAAGGGGACGGAAGTGTGGCGGTAGGGGGCCCCGAGGATCCATCATGTGTCCGGGGCCCGGCCGCGGGGGGAACGCATGTCCGTTGGCGGGTCGAGGTCCATACTCTCCTCCCATCGGTATACCTGGGTGCCCATTGGCTGGGAGTGGAGGCCCGTGAAGGTGAGGCGGGACATTGGGAGGAAGGGGGCCGTGAGGGCCTGGAGGGAGGTGGTAGGGGCCTGGCCGGGGGCCTCTGTATGGGCCGGGAGGAGGCAGGCGGCCGTGGGGTCCTGGAGGGAGGAGCGGGTCATGGGGGCCGGGGGGGCCACCTGGGACCAGGGGCCCTGGAGAGTCTCTGATCGGAGACGCAAGGAAGGATCCAGGTCCCTGAAGAAGACGAAGATAGAGAGTGAGTTAAAATGCAGGCAGTGAGACGTTGGTGGTGCTCGCAAGGGAGAGTATGTGGATTAGGATTTTAGTCATGCAGTAAAGAGATCCACAAACCACACACCACGGATCTAATCACATGACCCTAACCTCTAGGGCTGCACCGAATCATTTGAAGCTTCAATTAAAAACACTGATACTCGGATTCAGAGTCAACATTCGTGCTGCGCTGTTTCTCTGCATGTCTATTCATTCTGTTAAAACAAGATTTGGCTAAACTAATATCTCATTAGCATAACGATATTTGTAGAAATAGATTCCAGTGGTTGCTGCTTAGGTTAAATCATTTCTAAAACATGTTATTAGCTAATGAAATATTCTGACCAAACTAACAAGCTATATTCAATGAAGAATGACGATTTAATAAAAACATATTTTTTAGTATTTTTAGGAGGAAAGACATTCTTCATCCGAAAACCTCAATAGAAGCTTCATATGTTAATGAAAAAGATATTCGGCACAGCAGTAGTAACCTCACACCATGATTATTTGGATTACAAATCAAACCGCCTTCACAAAAACCCGACCTCTGACACACAACTTTCAACAACCCAAATATTAGACTCGATGAGAACATTCTTAGTTCCTCTCCGTGCTGTGAGGACAGAGGAAACCACACTCAGCCCAGACAGTTAAGCCCCAGTGAAGCACAACGCCTCAAATCTCCCCAGATGCAGTTTTCGGGGGCGGAGCCTCTATACTCACTGGCTCTGGGCTCTCTGTGGAGGCCGCAGCCTCCGCCTCTGCTTTAATCTGAGGATCTACTGCCTGTGTCTGTTTCAGAGCAAGGACACACACATGTGGGTAGGAGCTTCAGCCCTTCAGAGGCAGTGAGGGAAGGCAACACGTAAATATGATCAGATTTTATTAGGAATAAAAAAAACGTACCGACACATCCATGTTGGTGGGTGATGAGCTGCGGGGGCCCATCATGTCTGAAAGAGGAGAAACAGCACAGGGTGAGTCAGAAGGTTCGGAGATGATGGTGAAATATTGGAAATAGAGAGACTGGAGACGACTTACCCATCCCCGGGATGTGTTTGTTCTCAGCGTAGTGGCCGTGTGGGTCTGAGGGAGGTCGTGGACCTGAGGGGAAAACAAAACACACGATGAACTAAATCCCTCAAGACTGTCCCTGTAGCTCATGTCCAGGGAGGACACGGGGACAAACGAGCAGGGAACTCAATATAACCAGAGCAAAGACTGGTCATCTCTACCTCACGAGGACAATAGACAGAGGAACAAAGCATTCTTGATGAATTTAAAGCCCCAAAAAACTTGGTTTCTAATTGAACTGAGATACGGGATTGTCCCACTCTCAATAGCTTTAAAGGTCAACTCAAAGAATGGCTGAGAAACAAACAGACGTGTAATCACCGCTAAATGCACTTTAACACAGGGGTATCTCCTCTCGCACTTAATGTGTCGTAGCGGCTACATTGTACTGCCATGTGGTAAATACTTGTATATGCTGCTCTTGCCCTTTCTGCATATCATGTATTTATTTTTGCTATGTTTATAAATGTCATGTTCTTAAATGTTGTATGTGAGGGACTACGGATGGAAATGAGCTCAAAGCTCAAATCTGGCATATTTACATTTGAAGCATTATTTGTTTCAAGTGTTCATCAATGTGCACTGTCCCTGTTCAAATAAACGATTACATGAAAATGAATTATCTGTAATTCTCTACTCGAGCTCCATTAACACTCCGAGTTAAAATGTAGAAGAACACAGAATCACTTTGTTTATTTGTAGTTTTCTTACGATGAGAAATGGAGTTTTAAAGGGCTTTAAAGATCAAAAAGGTGAAGACCATTTGAACAGCAACACCAAAAGAAATGATTCAACTTAAAGAAACAGGAAGCAGGAAGTAGTGGGTTGAAGAAAGAGGAACCAGGAAGTAACACACTGACATGAAGGAAATAAAAAGGGAGAAATCAAGAAGGTGCAAGTTCTGAAGAGGAGATGAAGTCAGGTGTGCAAAAGGAGGAAGACTCAAGGAGACAAAGGTGGTGGTGGAGGGATGAAGTCCAACCGAGGCGAGGATAAAGAGGGTGAAGTAATCCACTGGGACTCACCATACGGGTCAACTCTTCGCCCCACTGGGGCAGAAGGAGGGCGCCTGGGACCCTCTATCATTATAGGAGGGGAGGGTGCACCCCCACTCACAGGAGAGGGCCCGTAAGAATCACCTGTTATGATCAAACCATCTGTTTACTGATAGAAAAAGAAACAGCTGACAATATATTACATTTACGCGTTTCCTCATTTCAGGCTGTGTGAGGCACATTCAAACAACAACACCTCTTCCTCATTAACATGCAGGATATGATTAGAAAGCAGCCTCCTGTTCTCAGAGCTCTGAAGGATGAGAAGGGACCTGATGGAGAGGAAACCGCAGGAGAAGCCGTGTGTCCCGGTTACCTTGGCGAGGGCCGGCATGCTGTCCAGAGTTTGGTCTGAAGAGAGGAGCGCGGCGGTCGTTCAGCTGAGAGGTGAGAACTCCCAGTCTGTTAGAGAACACAGAGAGGAGGCGGTGAGATGCAAATAAGGTCAATGGTACATCAAGTTGCTCATCTGCCCAACAACAGTCAATACAATTCTCAACACTATTAACAATACTTCATTAATAATGAAATGAGAAGACAAGAGAGAAAAAGTAAATGATGTAATTTGAGGAGAGGAACCAATGGATCAATTGTTTTAAATATATTTTTACTTTCTACTGATATGTCATAATTAGGGATGCTCCGATCAGGGTTTTTGGGGCCATCGCCGATCGCTGATCCGATCGAGTGGGCCTATGGGGATCTTCCATTTAAAGTGATGTTTAAAACTCAGGGTTCATTTTTATATTGCTTCAGTTTAGAATCGTAACGGATCGAAAAGTTCAGATTAATTTTTCAATGCATGATGCGCTTCCACAAACAACAACCAACATAATTATTACATTCAAATGAAGTACATTATTCAAGTTTACATTAACTTTGGATAATAACACGGGAGAAATGAGCGACTGTGTTCTAAATTGTATTTAGTATAACCTTTAAAAAAATACTTTGGAGTGCCAACACTCACTTTTCCCGGAGCTTTGATGATTCGAGCTTCTCTTGATTGAGAGCTCGCTCTGCATTACGAGCATTTACCTGCAAAGATATTCAAGGATTAGTGGGCAACGAGAATCTGAATGCTTCCATTAATAATAATCAATCTTAAACAGGCTGAAAATATCCATTTATAGCATATTAGCATTCGGGTATAAGTTGTGCCACTTTGTGCAACCTACCCAGTTTGAGTGAGTTTTGTTTTCCTGTTCTTTAACCTAGAAAATAAAGATAAGAAGAAAAATAACTTTTAGTCAGCGATCAGGAAGCTGCTTCTCCGTCCTTGCTCATTTAAAAAGGAACACCTACCTGCTCTTTATAGACCTCCTCCGTCTTCTTCATCTGCTCCTCCATCTCATTGATGCGGTGCCGTAAGATTTTCACCTGCTCCTCTGCCTCCACAGCTTTCCCCCCCACCTCGGTCAGCTGACTCTCTTTGCTGCGTCGCTCCAACTCTTCCTTCGTTAGTCTCCTGTGAATCCACAGAAACAAAGATTCTCCAAATGCTCTCCATTTCAAAGGTTCTTGCTATTATTCAGGAAACAGTGATGCTGAAACAGTTAGGCTGAAACAGTTAGGCTGAAACAGTTAGGCTGAAACAGTTAGGCTGAAACAGTGATGCTGAAACAGTGATGCTGAAACAGTGTATAGCAGAATGTCTACACTGTGTCACGGTAGCTAATCACAAAGTGAAGATGGGTTGTTTCACTTACTGCTGCAAAGCGTTTTCCTTCTGCTGATACATCTCAACCATGATTTCGTTTTTCTGCTGGAGGATCTTGAACTGGTTTTCTACATGGCTCTTATCGCTTTTGAGGGTTGCAATTGAATGATCCAGTTCCTGGTGTTGTTCTGTTGGAAAACACAAACGTGTGTGAAGAGAGAGAGACACGTAGAAGTTAGAGTTGTTCCATTACCCAAACCAGTGTTGGAAATGCCACCAAATAATGTAAGAAGCTAACAAAGGAGACATCTGGCTACAATCTGTATGTATTTGTCCGTGTTTCCAGGTGCAGGGTAAATGCAGGAATCTTGAAGTCAAATGTAAAACCTGTTAAGACCCTTTCCATACATTTTAAGACCTCATCGCCACTTTGAGTTTTAACCCGTTACCTTGACGACACACTTTACCTCACATTTACTATATACAATATTGATTTTCCTTCCTCCTTATCTTCCAACCATTTGGACGCAGACTTGCATTTCCCCATAACGATGTTGTTTAACAACCGGCGTAAACGGACCTCCGCGCGCTATCAAGCAGTGAGCGTGAGATGTCCTGTTCAGATGACGTCAAATCCAACGGGATGCCATAAATAAACTACACAGAATCACACTACACACCTACGCCATGATTACATTCAGGCACACTGTAGAATACAACCTCTTTGGACAATTCATATACTTATTGAAAACAAGCTACAAAATGGAATACCTTGGAAAAAGCCGTTTAATACTTACTTACTTAAGAGCCTTCATTTTCGTTAAATTGATTTATCNCATTGAAGAGACGGATCACGTTTTGTTCTACGACATTAAATACATCAGCAGTGACCCCACTGGTGATTTTTGAAGAGTTTACGTGTCTGAGAAACGATGGTTGTTAACAAGTGGCTGAATAGGACTAATGAAGACTAATGAAGCTCAGCGCAAGTTCAACCAGGAAGACCTTCTTTACTCATTCATTTACTATTTCTATGTTACTACTCTCTCTCCTCTCAATAAGTGATCGGGGGCGTCACTCCCCAGCTCAACCAATCACTTCGCTCTATTCTCACAAGCCTATCATATCGCTCCGCTAATCCTTTTAAATCTGCTCTCCCCTCTGACAGCTGTCATTTCGATGCAACCCTCCTCCACCCCTTTTCACCTCCTGTCCCTCTGAATCCAGGGTCAAGCTAAGCCGCTCCCCTTCAGACCGAACCGAACCATCCATTCACCACCTCCAATTAAACCCCGGGGGGGTTTCATTGGATCGGTTCTCCCCTCCCGAATGATAATCCTGCACAACGGGGCCTAATCGCCAAAACTCCATTACATTCATTTGTGTATTCCTGGCAATAAATATGTATTCTTTCATCAAAACCGTCTCTCCCGATTGAACAGAAGTTGTCGAGGCCGTTGTACCTCATTACACCGAACACGTAAACACTCTCGCTAAGTTTGTTTTACCCCGTGTGCTGCTTGAAAGCAAGTACCTGCCTCCTGCAAACTGTTAAAACAAACGCTTCAACTTGTACCATTTTGAATCTGTAGTTTTGAATATGGATCTTAAGTTGGCGTGACGTTGAAGCAGCGACCCTGCCGTAGTTCGTTTACAGCATAACGTTAGCATTTTGCTTCTGGCGACTAGATTTACGATTCGAAAATTATAAAAATAGGGTAGACATGTGGAGATTATCCGGCTGAACAAAACGTGACCCGTCTCTTAAATGTGTCTCAACCACAGACCTTATTTCCAGCTATTTTCCAAAATCCTATAGAGAAATTGCATTGCTTTTTGTCGAAGGAACCGTGTTTTAGGACGCTTACTTAAAGCTAAACACAGAATGCTAATATACAAACACCAAAAGTATCTTTTGCGCTTACCTGTAGGTTTTGCATCTTTTTCATTGTAGAACTAACGGTTTCCTTCGACTGTTTTTGACTTTCTTTCAGGTGTTCAGTCTTCAAAAAAAAAAAAAACAATTTAGAAAGTTCAGAAATAAATGAGAAGACGTATATATTTTTAAATGTAGCTCATAAATATTTGATCACGTTTTCTTGTAGCTCACCTGTTTCTGAAGATCAGCCATATGGGCGATGGCCTCATTCTTCTCCTTTTTGAACGCCAACATTTGCTCTGTCAGCTTCTTTTCATCCACTGTGTCAACAAAAGTGAAACAAAAACTAAACAAACTGCTAGATTTGACACTTCTGCCTTTTTATGTGATGTGATGTTAGAAAAAGTTAAAACTTACCAAGGTATTCTCTCTTCTTCACCTAAAATGTTTCGCAAAGCAAAAAGAAAAGATAAATTGGAAGTCTAACCAACACAGTTTGAAAATCAAGCTTATACAAATACAACATCTTTAATTCGAGCAGCGGTAATGTTCCAACACTTACTGCCAACACAGTCCTCCAGAAGAAGAAGATTAAGGTCACTACTCCAACCAAAGCAGTGATGATGACAGCTTGCCAAGGACAACCGAAAAAGGTTTCCCCTGGCTTCCACTCTTCTGGCAGTAATGAAATCACCTGAAGACACACAAACACATGGGACATGGTCAGGAATAATGAAATGCAACTGGATAGATAGCAGATCTATGGCTTAAAACGTGAGGGGGATGTATCGGTGTACCCCTCTTGCTGTGTTTGGATGTGAACAGTGTTATGACAAGCTAAAAATAGAGACAGAAGGCAATATTTGTCAAAGCACAGCAAGACACTTCAAATCTACATCAGGTAAGGCTTAAAGTAACTTACAATATGTACACGTACCCCTAGACTGAGATATTGAGATTCATTACAACAAAATTAATTAATGATGATCTTATCACGCAACAAAGAGGAAAGCTAATCAAGATATCAGAGCATTACCATACAATACTAATCAAACCAAGCCTAATGCAACAAACAGAAATGTTTTAAAAGCACACAACCCAAGAGCAGCAACAGGCATACGGTTGCAAAACTAATCTGCTCTCTGCAGAAGTATCCTGCCGCTTACACAACCACACGCATGTTTAATCCTGTAGAAAACATGTTTTTTGACACAAATTGAGGGATTATTGTGTTTTGCACTATAAAAAGGCAGCAATGCAGTGCTTTATTCGGACACAAACTATTTACTACTACAAGCCTGGTGTTGTATAGAATAAGTCAACATACAATGGTTGTTTAATGCCAACAGACTGACGTATTTATGAATTGTATCAGTAGCCAAAATGGACCATGATTTGGGTTTTCATTACTGTCCACTCATGACCCTGAATATTGGATTAACAGCAAAGAAACCTTTGAACTGAGCATGTGGCAGCTCAGAGAGGAACAAACGCACACACTATGGCTTCAATGAAACAAAGGGATTAACAATAAATTAAACTACACTGCCTGGAAAGAAAAACATGCTCTTTTCAACCAGCTTCATTTCAGAAGTCGACTTTCTAATAGCAATGCACAGAGACAGGACTGCAACCATATTAAGATTAATTCAAAATCTAATCTCCAGAAAAAACAATAAAAACTAAAAATGTGGGAGTTAAAGATCTTCCGTCAACATCTAAGAGGAGAATCCTACGGTGAGTAACATTTTTGGTCAGTACACTTAGGAGTAGTTAGCGTGCAAGTCGATGAGAATCAGCCATATGCACATTAACACGTCAGCAGGCCATGGTAGCATAATAAAACATACACAGTGCTTCAGTCTTTCACTTACATGTTGAAGCTCCTTAAGAAACATCATGTAAACATGCTCCGGTGCGATTACAGGTCGGGTTAATGGATCACTCTCCATGCTAGTTTTAAAAAAAAACAAAAACGAAACTAGCACCAGGAACGTTGTGCTAGTTTGACAGATATTAGCTTGCTAGCACGTAAGCTAAGTAAACCGTGCAGTTAAACTGACGTTAGTCGTTAACGGTAAACCCCCTTTGCGTGAGGATGAATTCAATAAACGTGAAACAAAAACCCACAATGTTAGATGGATATTTGAGAAGGTTACTTGGCAACAACGGTTGGCTAAAGGTTATAACAGATGAGTCGTCGTATTCCATTCACTAATCAAAAACAAGCAGGACAAGCAGGAGACGTTAGCTGAGCTGGAGCTTTAAAACACGCATTACATTTAAAACAAAAACAAAAAACAAGAGATTAAGAACCGAAATTAATGCAGGCACAGAGTACAACTTGTGGCTGCCTTTTTGTGCCAAAATAAGGCTGGTCAGTTGTAATAGTAGCCAGCTGAACACCGGCTGTGTTGAACTTCAGCCTACACCGCGACAGTCAACAAGAAGACAGGGGAGGGCCCTGCGACGTTCAGGGAGAATCGGAAATTTGAGCTTTTACTTGATCAGCACGCATGATGTGAAAGTGCTGGAGGATGCCAGTTAAAATGATTTAGGAGCAATAGGTCAGTAATGGATGGTGTGATGTATTGACGATATTTAATCAAGTACTGTACTTAAGTACGATTTTGGGGTATTGATACCAGTTGGGGCGTATCATAGGCCAGTAATATATATATTATTTTATACTTTTGTTAAAAATATATATTATTAGACCAAATCCTAACATTTTAGTTTTTTGTATTCATACATATGGATATGGACTGCTATAAATACTAATGTTTAATACACTGTTTTCATGTATGTATACTTCTATTTCTCTCATTCCATTATCTAACATTGCATATATTTCTCTTTTATTATATGTGTGCAATTGCTAACAGTATATAGTCTTACCTCAATAGCCCACTCTGCAATTTTATTCTTCGTTATAGAAAGGATGCAGCCCATGTAAACAATCCCAGTGGAGAATAATCCCACTCCTTCATCTTCTTTGGGAATTTCAGGCACTGGTTCCATGGGGTCCAAAGATCCTGATGAAACAAAATGTGGTCAGTTCTGTGTTTTAGGCAGACAAAGTGAATAATCCTACATTACAGTTAGTCATCTCTTGAAATAAAAATAAATAAAAAGTATCATGTAATTATGAAAAATTCTGCAAAATACAGGTGAAGAAAAACTCAAGAATACTTATTTAGGAACAGGTTTACTTTTTCTGATCAGGGCAAAACAATTGGTGATCTTTGAAAGAAATGTGGGAGAGGGCATGGCCAAAAGAAGTACAAGTTATCTTTATATCCAAGTAGAAAAACCTCCATCGTGGAAAGCAAGAAGGCGTATTGGGTAGCATACAGTAAGTAACATTTTGCAGACAGATCAATAAACTTAATATAAATAAGAAAAGATTATGTAATTTAGATAACCAACCTGAGGGCGAGTGCTCCACCTCGACACCGAGGCCAAGGTCTAAGGGGTTTTCCAGAGTGGCTTGAGGAACTTTAGGCAGCTCGTCTGATGCACTGAAGCTCAGCTGATTGTCTTTGTTTTTGTTAAAGTGTCCTCCATCCTCCTCCACACTGAGCTCCGGTCCACGGTGCACCTCTTCCAGAATCGATGGCTCGTCTTCACTCACAGCTGGCTTTTGCTCCTGATCTGTGACTGTGAGGTTGTCCTCACTCTTGGCCTCAGGGACGCTGACAACGCTGTCTTCTTCAACAATGACAGGTTGGTCATCTTTTACCTTTAATATGTGCTCATCTACGACAAAACATTGAAAAAAAACAAGAAAAGAAGAGCAATTAGGGATTAGTGAAGGGGGTAACATCCAGGTCTGTCTTAAAAGCATTAGGTTAAAAAGGATCGTAGACTTTGTTTGTTTTGTTTTGTGAGGTGATAGCTTGCCAACAACTAATCAAACATATTGGTCAAATAAAAACAGGTGTGGTCTATTGCTTTCTTAAGGAGCAGGGTATTTGTTTAATAGGAGGTTAATGTGACTCTATAGTTGGAAGAGAAATCATTGAACTGTAAGGTGAGCAGATTTAGGGACCGCACATAGACACATGTCTTGACATTTACAGACAAAGGACAAAGGTTGTTGTGGATACAAATTACATAATATCGTCCACACAGAGTCCACTTACACAGCAGAGTGCACTTTGTAGGACAGAAGTAGAGGGGGGAAAAGTGTGAGACTGTAAGACGGAGCATGTATTTTATGTTTTTTTTGTTCATTAGTTGGAATTTGGTGTTGTGTGCCGTTTGAAAAAGAAAATCTCAATTGTTCACTTTTGATGTTAGGTGTTAAATGCAATCCCTTTAAATAGGACGAAGGTGTTATATCTCGAAACAAGATACTGGTCTGAACGGTGCATAAAAGGAATGCTCTGCGCTGCATGTGTGCCATGCCACAGTGTCAAATTCTGACATAAGCTGATGCAACTCCCTTTACCTGTGTATGAAAAGCCCAAATCAGAAGTTTAGAATACAAAAATAAACGTACCTTTATCATTACCTGATGAAGCCAGAGGCGTGCTGTCACTGACTGTCGAATACTTCTGTCGTAGGGCGAATGCGAGCTCCTGGAAGTCATCCAGGATTTCAGTTTCCTCGTCGGTACTACTTTTGTCCGTATTTTCGACATAGTTGCGTTTTGCTTGTCGGCCATCCAGCATCTTCTCAATCTCGTCCAGGATGGAGTTCTCCGAGGCTTCCAGGATGCCCTCGAGGACACTTTCAATATCTTGTGTGGTGCCTGTGTGTGAGAGACGACTGACCTCCATCTCCGTGTCCAAGTCAGAGAACATGCTCTCCACTCTGAAGAGATGACTGAGGCCGAGCAGCTTTTGGAACCGCTCCATTTTCTCTTCTGAGAAATGGTATCTGAGCAGAGACAGTCTCATGACGCTGTCGCTGTATTCCGGCTCTGGAGTTGACACTGTGGGCAGAGCAGCTTCAGGTGAGGGTTCGTCAGAGGTATCTGATTTTGAGAAGGAAAGGGCATTTTCATCTTCAAGCAGTTCTTGTTTCTGCTCCGCTTTCTGCTCGTCTATCTCTATCTCATCATTCAACACCTCTGTAAGATCTTCCTCTTGAATCTCCGGTTCCTCCACAGATAATTCTGGTTCACTGTCATTCCTGTTTGAATCAGTCATTAACTGTACGTCATGAGGTCGAGTGTCATCTACTGTCTTTTCACCATCTTTTATATCTGAATGATTTGATTGTATCTCCTCTGTGAACGCGTCTTGATGTGTTTCGATTTCAGGTAATTTATGATCCGTCACAGTTGCCTTTTCCTCCATATTATTTTCGACGACATCATCAGCCTCATGTATAAAGCCCTCATCATCATCATCATCATCAACCTCTTCCTCCCCTTTGTGCTCAATGGGTTCCTCTGATGTTTCATTATCAGAGTTTTGGGTATCATCAGGAATGGCAGCGGTTTCATCGTCTGATTCCGGATCTACGGATATTGTTTCTACTTGATGGTGAATCGGCTCATCAGTTGGTTTTAAAGTTTCCTCCGCAGCGTCCTCAGGTCCGATCACTTCTCCCTCATCGTCATCATCATGATCCACCAAGTCTGCCTCGATGTTCTCTGGCTCTTGTTGTGATTCTACAGATAGCGGTTCTTCTTCTTCTACAGCTTTTTCGGCTGCATCAAGGGGTGTTGGAGGAGTGTCTTCTACCTCATCCTCATCATCATCATCGTCCTCTTCCGAGGTCAAATCTGCTGCTGTCCTCTCTCCACCGGTGACGACTGAAAAAACGACATCCCCGATAGATGTCCACATGTTCTTCTCCTCTGCAGCGTCCGGTTTAACTTCCTGTGTAGTTGGAGGAATTGCCTGCTTTTTGAGGGAATCCGATGCTGGTGTGTTTACGTTTTTTTCAGAGAAAGACAGCAATGGAATTTCTTCTTTCACATCAACGTGATCTTCGGGAGGATTCTCAACAAGTTCACCCTCTTCCTCTTCATACGGGGTTACACTCCGGGTGATTTCGTCATCAGAGGCAACAGCATCGAAAGTCGATCCGAAGGTAGTTTTTAACTCAGGGATTTGCATTCCTTCAGAAATTGTGACTGGTTCGTTTTCTGTAACAATATCTTGTTCGGGCAAAGATTTCTCTTCATGTTTGGTGGCTTTATCTTTGGTTTCACTCCTTCTAAACACAACCTTTTCAAGAACTGACTTGAATGCATGTTCTTTCTTCACTTCTGTGTGTTCTGCTGGGCTTTCAGGAGCATCGGGAGTAGCTTCAGTTTCAGACTCTTCTTCTTTTGTAGAAGGTGATTCAGTTGCCACGTCAGGTTCCGGTAAGGAGGCACTTTCATCATCTGGGACTACATCAAGATCCTCAGAGTCATCATGATTCTCAGTTTGTTTTTCACTCTCAGTTTCCTCCTGTTCTGATGGCTGTGTTTCTTTCTGCACGTCCTCTGCTAGTACGATTTGGTCAGATGTTCCCTTATTTTCACCGTCATTATCCTCCGGTAAAGAGGCCAACAGAAAATCTACATCGTAACTGTTAAACTTATCAAATCCGGTGTCAAAACAGACAAAATCTGTTTCCTGAAAAGAAAAGAAAAACAATTTAAATGACCAAATATACATGGGTTTGTAGGTGTATGTTGAAAGTTTAAAATTCTATTTTATTTTTGGCAAAAAAGTTTATACCTCTGCTGGAACTTCAAATTCTTTCCCAGTGTAAACGTGGTTAACTGTAATAAGGTTGTCTGGGAAATAACCAAAGTTACTTCCAACCTATTGAAAGATATAAGAAAAACATGTTGAGGATCATGAATACAAAAGCAAAACCTATGTTATCGAATTTGAAAAAAATATAAACCAGAGTATACGTACACTTCCAGCCCATATACCGGGCCTTTTACCCGACAGTTTGTAGTAAACATAGACTGTTTCTGATTTCTTGAACGTCAGGAAACGACAGTCTGGGCCCGTGAAATCTTTCAGAGCTTTTCCCCGAATCAGGAGCACTGCAAAAGAAATGTAATGTCAATCTAAAACAACAAATTATAATATTACAAGTCAAAGTTAGTTGACCCATTTGTATGGCTTGTTTTGTCAACCTAATAGACCAAAATGATATGTGTGGTTTTAATGTAATAGAAGATTAACAAAACAGCACATATTCTCCTTAACTGGAACACATTAATTTGCTCTTAAATGACTGCATGTCAATACTTTGCTCAACATGCCTCTGGAAGTACTAAAACCAAATTATAAAATATTTGTATTCCGTCTGTAGTCCGGTTTGGTATTGTTTTAAAACATCGGAGTAGAAAAGTAACTAACGTTCTCGTTACATGTCTCTTATCTTTACTGTTTTATGACTCAAAATTAGCTTCTCCTCATTAGTAGCCAATATAACAGTTCTTATCCCCTACCTACATCATCCCTCTTCAACCCTGATAATTACAGGTAAATATTGTTTGTACAACAACAACAACTGCTCTCTTAATGTCTCCTCAGGCTTTACTGTATGTTGGCCTACATTTAGTTAGCAATGCAAAATGTGATTGATAGACCACCTCAGTTAACATTAAATAATAAGAGAGACCCTACCATAATGTTAATTTAAGTGTTATGATAGAAGAGGCTTATTGAGAACCAACAATGTTATTACTAAATCAATTTGAACATGGTTGTTCTAGCACTGCAGTTGTATCATCTCCTATTTGCCCGCTCGTGTTTTCTTTAAATGTATAGCTTGTAGAGCAATTGTAATATGTGTTTAACTATTGTAGCTACATGTTGTTTATTTTTCTATCATGCTAGCAAGCATAACAGCAATTGGAAACTAGCCTTTTACTGTAGCTTACTTAGGTGCCTTTACATTTGATTGAATGGTGACAATGTTCACTACACTGTTAAAAAGACATTGAATAGATATCACCTTGACTAACAATACATATACTGTAAAGAGTGAGCTACTTCAGCTACGCAGTCTGGAGTAACATTATTCTGTGTTCAAGTAACAATATATAAGAGGAGAGAAGATAAAGATAACCATAGAAAACATTAGCTTTTGCCCAAAGCCGGCCGGTGGCTAATTAGCTGCTAACGTTAGCCTCTAAACACCCAGCAGGGCAGGCCGGAGCTGCCAGGCAACCGGCCAACATAACGAGAATAACCCCCTCCAAAGCTAATAACTTATGTTAACATTAGCTTGCCCTGATTTCAATGAGCATCACACACTGCATCTGAACTACAACAGAAGGTTACACAGGTCGCGAATATCGACTGGCAACAGGTCGAGAGATAAGGCGCAGTTTATGGCTAGCTGCAGGGATGTGGGAAGATTGCATCCTTGATGTAGTAACAACAAGCCAGCAAACTTACTGCTGCACTCCTCATCGGCGCATCTTTTCAGGTCGGAGAACCTCTTCTCCAAGGCCGCAGTTGAAATAAAATTAAATAAAAGTAATAAAAATCCCTGTCGGTAAAAGTGTTTTGCTGCCATGTTGGCAGTTTGTGTTGCCTGGCTGACTCCGCTGCTGCTGGAGGAGCCGACACGTCAGCAGAGATCCGGCTGGGAGTAGCACGGATAGGTTTACACAGGATATAAGGTTGGGTTCTGGCTGCTTCATGTGACAGTGGGAAGAAACCTCAAACCAATGCAAAGATGAAGAGAGAAACTGCTAAATAAATCAGTTTCATCATTTGGTTTATCCAGTTAGTTCTGGAATCATCAAATACGTTAACAAGGACAACAAAAATACAAACAAAAAGAGATTAAAAATCTGAAATATTCACTCAAGAGGATTATGACCTCCATTCTAATGACATTTAATCCCCCACGGAGCCATTTTTAAGCACATGTAGTTAAGCCCTATGCACCGAAAATGGGATAGAAGAAAGAAATACGCCTATTAATGTTTTTCAAGTTTATAGTAGAAGTAAATGGACTTGACGCAAACAGAAAAACATAATGCTATGTAATGTCAATTATGTCAAAATGTAGCCAACCATTCTTATTTAACACAATGAAACACAATGAATAAGTAAATTAAAATAAGTATGGAATAATTGAGCATATTGACAATACAGAGGCAAATAATAAGAACATCACAAAACAAAAGACAAACAATAGGTAATAGGTTATTATTTTATAAAAACATCCTAAAAACAAGGCTTTCACAAATATCAATGAAACAAGTACAAATGTTCACTGAAGCCCAATTTCAACCCATATCCCCTGAAGTTTAGCTATAATCTAACTAGTTGTATTGTTTTTTCCATGTGAACTATGTAATTTGTTGACACGAAGAAATAATGAAAATATGGCAATAATAAAACAATATGGGAACCCCTTAGAAAAACAGAAACCTTTTTATAAATGTATTACTTAATTATGACAAATATTTAGTACTTTTGTTTTCATTTTGTTACCATATTCCACATATTTAGCATGAAAGAGAACGTCTCCTTCAATTTGACAACTATCTCTGCGTACCTGCTTTACTCCTGTAAACTGGGAGTAAATAAACCTCACTTGACCTTAAATTGGCTAAGTAATAAAAAGAAGCGTAGAAGAAGAATCTCTTTGCTCCGCCTTTTCCGGCCACAGCAGCCAATAATCGTGCAGCTTTGCTTTTTCGCTTCCGTAGCTACAGTTCTGAAACGTCCTGAAAGCATTGTTAACAACATGTGGAAAACACATTAATCAAGAGGCAAAAACACAGTACAACATTAATTTTAAGACTCAAACTCGGAATAGAAGCTGTCCATTGGATTATATCGTTAGCTCGTCGATGCAGGTTACTTTAGCCTTTAATTTAGCTTTGTTTACCTTCAGACCCATCGTTACTGCTCATCAGGTAGGAGCTGATTTGTTTTTAAAGAGAATAGGGTGGCTTCTTCTCACTTAAGAGATTTCACATTGATATATATATTTAACAGTAATATGTGTAGCTTTGTCGGTGAACATTTCCCGTTCAAAACTATGCTGAGAAAGCTAACCATCTAGGTGAGCCTCAAACTACAGTGACACATTGTTCACTTAAATTAATTGAAGACTTAAAGGTCATAACACATTTCTACCAATGATGTCAAAGTGTTTGTCCATCTGTAATCACGTCTGTCTGCTTAATAAAGAAGTGGTTGACTGCAAAGCTATTCTGGAGCTATTGTTTATTATAATATAACTGTTAATGTAATCAAGCAAAACATATCAATACATGTTCTGTCTTTTCAAGTTTGATACTTACTGCTTTTCCTTGTCTTGCTCTAAAGTAAATTCAATATATTGGGGATTTAGGTTAATCAAACCTATAAAGCTTTTGAAGTCACAATTGATGTTTTTCACCTTTTTCTGATATTTTAAAGGATAAAAAGATTATTTGATGGATCGAGAAAATATATTTGAAAGATTTATCAATAGTAAAAAATACGGTTCAGACATGCCTTAGGACATTTGTCAATGTTGATGTCTAGTAAGGGAGTTGTGTGCTTTACACAACTGTTCTTCTCCCTGCAGCTGGACACCATACAGTGAGCATCAGAGAAAGTGATAAACAGCAGCTGTACCTGAGTCTGACTGCTGGGCTCATTATGGATGAATTGGATAGAGAGCTACTGGCTGTCAAAGACTTGGAGGATGACAATGATTCCTTTAGCGACAATTCTTCAAAAGCATCAACAAAATCAAAGCTCCCTCTGGTTAACCTCGACATGCATGCAGGTGAGAATATATCTACCGAAATTGAACCTATTAGAGATAAACTGATAACTTGTTATTATTGTATCTGCCAATATATTTTTTATTGTTTTCAGTACATCTATATTTTGGCAAATTAATAATATAATTAAACAATTACAGAAAAGCCAAATATATGTTTAATTTAATCTAGAAATAATATCTTAATTTCATGGATTGTGTCAGCCTAAAAATATCCGGTATATCTGTCGAGCTGTAGAACCGGAGTTAATTATCTTAACGACAAGTGCATTAATGTCATTTAATAATAACTTGTTTTTTTTAACTTAAGAGCCACCTAGGGAAACTGGGTTTCACCGGAGTACCAGAGTGTGTCTGGAGCACATCAGAGACGCCCTGCTGCATCACAGATGGCAAGAGGCCGCAGAATATATGGCTTGTTACCCACAGATTTTAGAAGATACAACCAATGGCCCATCTCAGTCATATAAGGAGGTAGGTTTGGTTTTGTCTGGATGTTTCAGAATCAGAAAACCTTTATTCGTCCCAAAGTAGAGACATTTACAACATCACAGGAGCAATATAGCGATAAAAGGCAGATCAAAATGCCAAAGGAAAAGCCATGCAGATAGTATTTCTACAGGACAGCATGCCTCATGTTCTCCAACGTTTCCACGAAAGCCCTGTTTCTTTAAACTAGTGAAGGGGAGATTACCATTATGAAGCATTGATTCTTTCCAGACAGTTTTTCATTCCTTCAGGCTTCAGGTGCATACAAACCCCCCTGTTGTTCAAAGACCGTAAAACAGACAGATATGTTACACATGTTCTGCATTAGTGATATACTGTAGTTCAGTGTTTCCCCTAGGATGGAGTCATAGCAGCGGTGCTAAGGCACGCGGGCCCAGCTAAATGAGAGCGTGGGGCGCGTGGAATTTTTTTGTGTGTGCGAAGTGCGCCCCTCCAATATGTTTCTATGTGTCTGCCAGCACAAGAAAGGCTCTCGAGGCTCTACAGGTGTATTTTGCTAAATCACCTTTATTGAACACAACTACTACACATCCACATAAAAAACAATCAAAATAAAATGTATGCAATTTAATTATTTTGACCTGCTTTATTTGGGGGTGGACCTCACATCCTCAAGGGGGGTCCGGGGACGATCAATCTGGTGCACTTTGAGCACAAAATGAATTTATGAATACAGCTCTCAACACTCAGATGAAAGGGAGCTTTGCAATAATCCAAAAGTCTTTAGAATATGATCATAACCAATAACAAATCATTTAAACTTGTTTATTCTTATCTTATGTTACCTAGTTAGTATTCTTTCTTTTTCTTTATGCATTTGACTATCACTCCCCTTTTAAACAGTTTTTTTTTTATTGTCCTATATAGTACACATTGGAATGATTTCTTACTTTATTTTTTACAACTATATTAAATAGTTAAAGTCTGTATTAAAAAAAGAAAAGAAAAGCAATTAAATAAAAAAAAAGATGTGCATGCTGCGTCGCTGCTGAACGTATATAGGGGAAACACTGGTAGTTTGTGCCAGTAAAGTCTTAGTAATAATAACAGTCAAAAAAAGTGGAAGGTTGCAGTTAACAGGGCAGGGAGCTGTTTCTGGAAATAGTCAAATGTAGAGGGCAGATTTGTTTTATTCAAAAACAATAACTTCTGAATTGTCCTACGGCTATGTGCTTCATCAATGGTGTCATCTTAACAATACAAGCATCAACAAACGCTCTAAAGCTTTTCATAAGTATCAGTTATGTTAACAATTATAAATCACTGTAATCAAGTCGTTGATATTAACATTCTTTTTCCACCCTAGCTTACTTGGAGAATCAGCGCTGAGATCCTTCACCATCACCCCAAATCAAAGTTGGAAGACTACAACAACATCTATGAAAGAATGAAGCACTCAGGAGTTAGACATTACCTGATGGTAAGTGAGCTCTTAGACCTGACTGCAAAATGCACACACTTCTTTTTTCTTTTTCTAACATGTACCGACCTTCTTCCTGTGCGTCTCTAGATCTGCCTGGAGCATTCGTTCCACCTGCTGCTGAACGGCCACATCGAGGAGGCAAAGCGCCAGCTGTCTGTCTCTGAGAGCTGGAGGTACGGG